GAGGGTGTCGGTGACCCTAATGTTCTGTTCCGCTTCATTGGAGACCTGCACCGACAATATGGCCCGTGTGAGGGTGGGAGCGGTATGTCCCTCCCTATCATGTCTGGAGTCCGACAGGTTGTGTTCTCTCACCATCGCTGCTATGCAGGGCGATCAACTGGGTTACAAACAGGTCCTCGAACCAGCTCGGCAACCTCCATGGCCACAGGGTGTTTAAAACCCGGTCAATGCCTGAAGACGCTGCTCTTCTCACTGACAAACCCGGTGAAGTGGCCAGCCATCCTGAAGCGGTGAAGGAAGCAGCTGTCTCCACGGGGCTTCAGCCCACCGTGGATTAAGACCAAGTTCCAGAAGGTCGCTGTTGGCCAGGCCTGTTTCCAGAACATTCTCTGGGGAGACTGGTCAAATCGGTGCAGAGGTTCAAGTACCTAAGGATGTGACGTCGAACTCCTTGGGTTACTGCGGAGTATGGACATGGGGAGCTCGGTGATGAACCAGCTGGAGTGGGTCTGGAGGCAGCAATGCCTGTCCCTGGCTACAGAGCTGCACATTACAGGGCCTGCGTGGTGTCAAGAGCTTGTGGATGGCTCAGAGTCATGGCCACTGCTGAAGAGACACGTGACGGCCGTGCGGCACCAGCGCTGGATTCTTGGAAGATGCTGCGTCAACCCTGTGACGAGTGACGCCGCGTCGGCTCGGAACGACTTACCTGATGTGCGCTGTGACGTAGTGTGGAGGCCTCACGTGGTCTTCAGACACGTCAACGACACACTGGGCTCTCAGGCGTGCCGTACAGACACACACGTGCCACAGCTCAAGACCAGACCGCACCTGGAGGCCGCCTCGTGGGCGTCAGACTTCACTGAGTGTGAAAGTTCGGGGCTGATTCAGGCCTTGAACCTCAGAGCGCCTGGGGCATTGCGCGTGATGGGTTGTGAGGACCCAATGCTGGTCAAGTGGAGTCGCTGTTGTAGTAATAAAGTATCAGCACATACACAGATAAATCTTAAGGCCGGAATTTTCATTGTGCTTCATCCAGGTACGTCTGATGGCACAAATCTGCATGTACAGCATGATTCAATTTTCAGAATACTTCAGGCAAATTAAATGTTCACATATATTTGTTTTTAAAAATGTTGTGGTTAAATTGCTGTGGTTTGGGAAATGTCAAGATTGGACAGATTTTATTTCTCAAATGATCACTCAAAGGCTTTAGTTCCCCACATAGGTTTTGAAGGGAAGATAAACTGCACTGCAGCTACTGCAAGGGAGAGTTGTAGAACTTTCTTCTGCTATTAATCAATATTTTGAAGTTTTGCTGCTTAGCTATGCTCCGATTTGCAACTCGATCTAATGCCATTGAACAACCTGACAGGTTTCACTTAGCTATGGGCACTGTAGTTAATTTGTAATGGATCCCTCGTGATACATCCATTCTGGCTTTGGGTTTAAGAGTTCTATATTGTCTGCAAACAATGCAGTATTTCCAGCTATGGTATCCGCAGCTAATTCCCTGTTGACATTGAAGTATACTGCAGAATTTTATTCAAGACCATCCTATTTGACCATGCTTCAACCACACTCCCACTCCAAACCTGCTTCATTCCAACCCCCAGCTTTGGTGCAAACACTTAACTATCCCGTGCCTTAGGATGTCCTTCCAATGTGAAAGGTGCTATACAAATGTAATTTGTTGTTGTTGTTGATCAATTGGTTCAATAGTCCTAATTCTGAAGCTGCTGCTTGGGATCTTCCTCCATTTACCCTGGAGAGCACCAGGAGCAACATGGGAACATATGGCTACATGCTGTGTGTTTTTTTTGGCCATACACCCTCCCCTCCTTCTGGAAAAGGTCCATTACAAGTTAGCAGTGCAAAATATGTTTGCAAGATATACTGTAAAGTGCAGTGACTGTTTTATGGGTGAACAAAGAGGATAAAGGATTCAGCAACCTGTCTGTATACTCGACTCTCTACCCAGATTTTGACATTTTGCACAAACATTTGTAGTTGTAATCTCTGACTGCACTGTTACAAGGTCAAGGGACTCATTTTCATCACTGCAATCAATAACTGTGGTTATTTATGTCTTCATCTAATTAGCTGTTGTATTTTCCATCAGAAGAAACATTTAATTCCCAAGTGGAATGCTTATGTCAAAGTAGTAGATAATACAGCAGACAAGGTGTTAGCCGAGCTCAGTTTGTAAGACACTTGCCTTCCAGTCACAGGTTATGGGTTCAAACCTCACATCACAACTTTGAACTCACAGTCTAGACTGACACTGTAATTCAGGTAACAAAAACAGAAGTTGCTGGGAATGGTCAGGTCAGGCAGCATCTATGGAGAAAGGAAAGTGAGTCAACGTTTCGGGTCCCCGACTCTTCGTCAGAACTGGAGGTGGTAGGGGAGCACATTGTTGGAGGTGCTGCCCTTTGAATGAGACGTTAAACTGATGTCCTGTCTGCCTGTCCAGATGGACATTAAAGATCGCATAGCAGTATTTGGAAAGAAAAGGGAGTTTCTGGCCAAGAAACCCCCAAATAAAACCATTCATTCACTTTATGGCTATGTGTCGGCCACTGCTGTGTAAAAATTGGATACTGTGTTCACCTACAGTCACTAAACTTAACAGTAAAATTCTGTGAAACACTTTAAGACATTCTCCTGACGTAAAAGGCACAATATCAAATACAAGGTTATTATTCTTATTATTTAGACAATAACAAGGGGACTTTTTCCCCTTTAAATAAAAGTGAAAAATTGGTTCACACAATCGCTCTGTTTAAAGTGAATAATTTGGGCTAAAACTCGTCTCATAAAGTTGAAACTTTTGAAAATTGTAAAAATGAAAAAGTAATTTACTCATCTGAGGAACAGAAACTAAAATGCATTAGGCTGATTTAACCAATACAAGATGTCTTGCAATATCACATTATTGTTAACCCTTACAATAATGATCATGTTTGAATCTTTCCAATTTCTGAAATACATACCATACACTCAATGTACCCCTAGAGTTTAGGATAAGAGGTGTTTAGGAATAAAATACTGCCACAATGCAGTTTGTGATTTTATTGCTAAAGTTTCAATATTATTTCTACCTCTAAATTATACAGCCAATAATCTTTGAATTTGGTTATAGAACAATAAGGTAGCCCTGTACTTGCACAATAGATTGAATGGCGTCCTTCTGTGCTGTATTATTTCTTTGATTCAAAGAAATTCAAATCACTGTAGTTCAAAGCTCAGAATCTGACGCCTTCCAAAAAATCAATAACATGAAAGACCCAAACTTGAAATACCTGTATGTTAGAAGGCACTGAGGAATGTGCATAGATTACTCTGCAGTAATGCAATGTGGGGTATTTTTATTGCCTATTTATACAGAGGTTGCACTAGTTCAAAATCAATATAATACACTCAGGCAGATGATTTATTCTTTTCAGTCTATTGTTATTGTTGTAGGGCAGGAAAGAACCAGGAAGTATTATTTATACTATGACAAAGTGACCGAAGGACATGTTTTAAGTGCAATAATGCCTTTGTGTTCCATTCTTAAACATTCGCAATTCATAGCAAGTAAATTGCCTGTAGCGGAAACAATGTCCCTTTAAATGTTGCACAACCTTCAATGTAAACAGGAGTTCAGGCACATTTAACTGGTCAAAGGTTTATTACATGATCCTCACCATTACCCAATATGCCTAACGTTTCCTGGTGCTATGTATACTGCCACACATATGCCTACTGTTTAGTGGTGCAATGTATACTGCCACATCACAACAGCAATGTGAACAAGTCGGGAATTTGACTCAATAAAATGAGATACAGAAAAAAAATTGCCAATGTAGCTTCCATGTCAGCCAAGCCCAAACTGACACCAGAAACATCCAATCAAACACTAACATGTGCAAACAATGTGCAAACATGCCAAAGACAGAGCTTTGCTGCTCCAATGATTACTGACTGGGCGAGGAGTCTGATTCTCCTTTCCCCTCCCCCCAATATATTAATTCCTAACTGACAACCAATGAACAGAAATAAATCCATGGCCAAAGCATGACCTTTGGTAAGAGGAATTGCATTTCATATATCAGTTAGGAAAAGGGGGAAGAAAAATAAAATATACAGTCAATTCACTTTACAGTATATTCTGCGAAGTGGTTTAAGGCGTCTCGAAAACGTAATAAGGCGGTAATTCAAATGCAACGATTCTTATTATAAATGACATTATACACGAGTGTGTGCAGAATTGTATTTGTATTCAGTGAATAAGTAACAATCTCACTCATAGACACATACACTACCAGTTCGCTGTATTTGTTTGCAATCAGTCGCAGCAGTCAACACCCACACTACTGACTCCCTATATTTATGTGTAGTCAGTCACATACACTCACTCGTACAGTGAGTCACTCACACACTATTGATGAACAGTCAGTCAGTCACACACTATCGATGACACACACAGTGTAATGCAATGACACACAGTGTAATGCAGTGACAGTGTAATGCAGTGACACAGTGTAATGCAGTGACACAGTGTAATGCAATGACACACAGTGTAATGCAGTGACACAGTGTAATGTAGTGACACACAGCATAATGCAATGACACACAGTGTAATGCAGTGACACAGTGTAATGCAGTGACACACCCACAGTGTAATGCAGTGACACACACACACAGTGTAATCAGTGACACACACACAGTGTAATGCAGTGACACACACAGTGTAATGCAGTGACACACACAGTGTAATGCAGTGACACACACAGTGTAATCAGTGACACACACACAGTGTAATGCAGTGACACACACACAGTGTAATGCAGTGACACACACAGTGTAATGCAGTGACACACACAGTGTAGTGCAGTGACACACACACAGTGTAATGCAGTGACACACACACAGTGTAATGCAGTGACACACAGTGTAATGCAGTGACACACACACAGTGTAATGTAGTGACTGTCTCTCTCTCTGTAACTCACTTGCTCTCTGGGTGTCAGAACGTTGCCCGGATCCCGGGGCCGCCTCGCGCTGTTCTCTCTACCGCTTCCGGTTCGCGCCCCGGTCCCGCCCTGTCAGTCAGTCAGTCAGTCAGTGGCTGAGGCCCCGCCCTCTGCCCTGTCAGTCAGTCAGTCAGTGGCTGAGGCCCCGCCCTCTGCCCTGTCAGTCAGTCAGTCAGTGGCTGAGGCCCCACCCTCTGCCCTGTCAGTCAGTCAGTCAGTGGCTGAGGCCCCGCCCTCTGCCCTGTCAGTCAGTCAGTGGCTGAGGCTCCGCCCTCCCGCACACGGGCTAAACCAGGACGAGCAAAGCTCACCCCCCGCCCCTCCCCCCACCGCCGGGATCTTACACACACACTACACTCACTCACACAGCCCGGGACATGTGCAGTGACAGCCTGACATACCAGCGATTGTAACCGAGCGAGGCCTGGCTATCGCCAGAGAGCCCACAGAGGAAGGCCTGGTGTTCACGGTGGAAGGAGAGCGATGTGCAGACATTCAGTCATTGCAGCCACAACATATACAGTCAATTCACTCGACAGTATATTCTGTGAAGTGCTGTCCAGAAGATGTGATAAGGCGCTATATCAAATGCAACAATTATTATTACTATTCGCCAGGCACTAGAATTCACTGAAACGCATATAATTGTAAAAAATTGTAAAACCATTGCCTGTGTTAAAAGTCTATGTTTTCAAATTAGAAAAACACGGAGGAAATTTATGTATGTGCATGTGAAGCAGAGTCTCTGTTTGGCAGTACCAACATGGGGAATCTTTTGTCGGCCTCTCCCACAGTGGAGACTCGCCTATGCCAGGAGAACACAGCTGCACAATGGCAGGAATTCAGACATTGGGGACCCCAAAGTACACTTGGTACTGCTGGAATTGAAACCAACAAAGTTGCATAGCTTCCAAACCCTTCTGAACCCAACTCCCAACTTGGGTGCAAACCCTTGACTGTCCTGTGCTGTGGAACGTCCTTCCAACGTGATAGGAACTATATAAATGCAATGCGCTGTTGTTGCAGCTTATCAGTTGTACAAAAGTACTGCCAGGGAGACTTTCAAAATTGTGAGTGCTGTTTTGACCTATGCTGCTGCCTTAGATTTAGTTATGTGAGTTTTGAGTGACCACTACAACAACTCACTGAGCGCTAAGGGGAACATTGGATATTAATCATAATTTGTTGATAAATCGGAGGTGCAAACTTGTACCATTTTGTAAATATTTTCATTGAATTTATTCTAAATTACACATTTGTCCATATTAATACTCTTACAAGTAATGCATCAATAATGATGATAATCATCATTGCTTTTGATAAAGCACATTTCAGATCAGGAACATGTCTCAAACCATTTCAAAGGAATTACTGTAGAGCGTAATGACTGTATTTGTAGGTGAATGCAGCAGCCACTTTTGCATTAACAGGAATGAGTGAATGACCAATTTAACTGGGGGATTCTTAGCAAAGACACAGAGAAAATCCCTTCTCTTTTCAACTAATACCATGGGATCTTTAACATCCATCACAACAGGCACATTCGAAGGACAGCACGTTTCACAGTGTGATGAATCCCTAAGCACCACGGTGCACCCCCAAGTGCAAGACTATGAAATCAAAATCCCTACATGGACCTTGAACGCTCACACTGCTCTCATGCCCTGTTAAATATGACCTTTATGGAGGATTTTGCAATTTTGGTCTCAAATTTTAAATTATGCACTTTGCTCTGATTTCTTTTAAAAAGCAATACATTTATTTTTTACTGTGAATAATAACAATTCTTTGGGTCAGTTATGTAATAACATCTGAACACAGACAAAATGTTATTATTGAATAACAGAACATTTCTAAAGGGAACAAATCCAAAAGAAAGAACAGAAACAACATGTAAAATATATTGAGTAATTGAGACACAATGAAATAATCTTGTATCCTGCAAGGGAATAGTCACAAAAAGAATATCAGGAGAGTTCTCTACAGACTTGTCACCTCCATAAAAACACGCATAACCTGCGATATTGACTGGAACAAGTTTGATATTGTGTAATGAATAAGTCATCTGCAATTGCAAAGAAGAGGTGGATTTCTAAAATGCATCAATAAATACAATTTGTTGTTTAATTCATAAATCTGATTATATTAATATGTTAATGTATTTTACTAGCTTTCAGATAGAAAGAGCTAACAGCTCGGGTGGGAATCAAGCCAATTTTAAATATTTATGTTAAGATTTATAGTCATTATTTTCATGTTTCTCTATCATTCTAGGGTAATGCAAACTGTGGCACAGTAGAACTGTAATATAAGGATGCCAAAATCAAAATTGTTGAAGCATAATCACTTTGGAATGAGGGGTAATTCTGAATTGTGCAGTGGAATTATATAGAATGGGAATAAAAGGACTCTGGGTGATACAGTAGCACAGACAGAACACTGTCCTTTTACTTCAGAACCCGTGCTTGTATCCAGCCCAGTCTGATAACTGAAAGTCTTCTCTTTCAGAGTCTAACTAATAATATAATCTTTATACTTGATACAATGCCTTTCATGTCAGGAGGACACCTCAAAGTGCTTCACGGAATTTACTATAAAATGTTTACTGAAAACTGTATTTGTAAGTGAAACGCAGCAGCTCATTTGCACACAGTAATGTCCAACAAACAGCCATGAATTGAATAACCAATTTGATCGGAGGGTATATTGACTAGGACACTGGGAGAAACACTTCTCCTTTCCAACAGTGCCATGGGATCTTTAACATCCACCAGAACAGGCAGACGGAACTCAATTTAATGTCTCATCTGAAGGACGACACCTCTGACAATACAAGCCCTGCACTGAACTGTTAGCCTAGATTGTGAATTCAAAGTCCCCGACATGGGTCTTAAATCCACAATCTTCTATCTCAGAAGCGAGAGTGCTACTAACTGAACCAAGCTGACACACAAATTTTATTGACCTGACCTGATCAATAATACAATAAAATCAATCTGATCCTCTTAAAGGAAACAGCTGAGCCGGGGGAGGGCAAGTGTTCATGAGCCTCTACCGTGTCACTCTGAGTGGCTGTTGGGAGATACAATGAGAATGGTCTACTCAATTTTCTCTCTGGTTTCTCTCCCTCAGATTAAGGGAGAGGGTACAAGTGAATGTATGCAAGTGTGCAAAGTTTGGACAGTCTCAATTTAGTTGCTAGTGGGTATTAGTCCACACAAATAAACTACATTTAATTGTGCACTAATCATTGCAATATGCATTACTCTATAGATCCATAAGAATAGCTGCTATGGGAAATATCATATTGACATTAACTACTGCATTTAAGAGGCTCCAAAGGAAGACCAAGAGATTCCACGTAAGTGTTCCCTTTAGGATTCAGGCAATACCTATGCAGAACCTCTTCCTTGGAGTAAGGGAAAGGAAACCTGAGAAAGAATTGAGTAGACCATTATAATGTATCTCCCAACAGTAACCCGGAGAATGACATTGGAAGAGCCTGTGAGTACTTGCCTCCACCCTCCTCCACCGTGATTCAGCTGCTTCCTCTAAGAAGAACAGACTGATTATACCGTAGTATTGATCAGGGCAATAAATTATAAATCATATATATTATTTGATCGCTCATGTAGACTGTATCCTAATCATCTAGAATACAATACAAAACATATTCTGTATTGGATATTGTTATTGCATAATAAATAACTGAGGATCTGTATGTTTATGGTTTATGGTTGGGCAATCTCAGGAAATATGAATGATAGCTATGAATGGATAGTTGTGAGTGGGTACAAACCAAAAATCTCATTGGGGGTTCATGTGGTGTTTGAAATCATAATAGGAAATTTTAAGAACATAAAGCATGAAGCAATCAAAGTATATTGGCCTATTGTGAACTTTACTCTGAGTCAGAAGATTGTAGGCATTAACCCCGCATTAGGAATTTGAATTCATAGGATGACACTCTATTGCAGTTAATTGTTGCCTTCCTGACAGGTGGACTGTAAAGATCCCCTGGCACTATTCGAAAGATAGAAGGGAGTTTCTCCTGGTGTCCTGGCCTACAATCCCCCAGACAAAAAATTGGTAATTTACTTCACGACTGTTTGTGGGACATTGTTTGTATGGTTATTGCATTCACGGTCACTACACTTTACAGAAACCTTTGGGAAGCGAAATGTTTCAACAAAGTAAGATGCTATATCAAATGACCCCATGCTAATCCTTATAAAGGCTGTGCAAGGATACTCCCAGGTGCCTGTCAGCAATCAAGCAAAAATGTCACAGTATTCAACCTACTTAAACTTTTCCTCCACAGGTAATATTTACTCCCCTCACCAATATAGAAACTAGAGCTTCCTGTGGAGTATTTGTTCATTCTGATATCCACTTACACCTATACTGTTTTAAGCAGATACTTAATCATCCTACTTTGAAGTAATTAATTGATGCAGAAACAATTGCCTTTGTTGAGAATGTTTTCCACATATCCACTTCTCTTTGGAGAAATGTTCCTTTTTAGTCCTATTTCTTTCCACTAATAAATTTAAAATCCTTTCTTTCTCACCTAAAAGCAATTGATTCCTTTTCCCTCTACTAGGGTGCATTGCACTAGTACCCACTTGCTTTCCAGTACCTTGCCCAACTGGTTGTTATTCATACATGTGTCTTAATATTGAGTGTTAACACACTATTTCACTGGGGAATTACCATAGCTAAATCTAATCCTGAAAAAGGGGCCAAAGGGGAGTCTTAAAATCAAAGCTTTTTAATTCAAACCCCTAGTTTTCACAAGATCACAAGTTTGATTTGGATGAAAAATATCCTTTAACCTTTTTATATCATCCATCCAGAATACATATCCTACCATCTTCCCATTACAAGCAGTTTTATAAACTAGTCCAGTACCCTCGTTTCAACCACTCTTCATCATAACTTAATTCAGTCATTAGTTACCCTCTAGGTAAGGAACTATTTCCTGGTATCTGTCCTCATATTGCCCTTTGCAACACTAAACTATTTCATCTTATTTTACTGCCTTGGTGCAGTATACTAATCTCACATTCTGAATCAATAA